ACGTGCATGAAATTTCTCACCCCTTGTTTATTCTATTCTTATCATCTTGTCCTGCTAAATCCGATTTAAACGGCATGGTACTTTCTGGACTCTGTGATCGCCTTTCTAAAACTAACTTTAAAAATTGCGCTGACTGAGTTTTATCTTCCAAAAAAACCTTACATATTGAAGGAGCAATTAGTAATAACGACTTGGTTTCTCGTCATTTGCGGCGGGACAAGGAGCATACAGTCAGTTTCAAGAGCAATTTTTTGGTTATCTGTAGACTGTAATTTCCATAGACCATCTCATTTATAAAGTTGTAGTGTAACTTTTGTATCCTGAAGGACTGATTGCAGTTCCCCCTTAAGTCCATTGGTGACAAAAATCCACTCATGTGATTGTTTATTTTCTCTGCTTCAACTATGATTGCAAATTGTCAATGTCTTAACGTTTTTAATTGCTTTGTTTCTATTTTATACGGTCAATCACCATTTTCGCTACATATTGGGGCTAGAGGAAAAGATGAGTTTTAACAGATTTTAGTCTTTCAGCCAGAATCCAACCAGTGCGTTTTTAAATTATTACCTCATTTCTACACGTAGCAATCCAATTTTTGACCTCATTGTATACCAGCTTTGTTCATCAAATATTGTATCTATTATTTAGCTGGTTTAATTAAGAGAAGACAGCCGAATGTAGTGAATCCCTGCAAGTTAATTTGTCATCCTTGTTACCCTAAATTTATATAGAAAACACGATACATAGAATTCCTGTGTTATAATGTCTGCTTTTGTTACGTTTGTTTTGAAAATGAAAAAATATGACACATACAAGGCTGTTATTGGCAGCGTTCAGTGCATGTTTACTTAATCGTTTGTGTATAGTTATTATTAACTAGACTATTTTAAACAGATTAAGCTGATACTCAAATATTTATGTGCAAATGTTTGATAAAGGTTTCAAGAGAAATTCGGTCTGTTAGTTGATTGCAATATTTAGACTAGATTATCGATCATGTATTCTACAAAATGAGCTGTAATTATCATGTGGTAGCTCACCTAATTTCAGTCACAAGTACTCTCTCTCTCTCTCTCTCATGAGTACTCTCTTCAGCTGTCATGAAAAAGCGAGAGTTAACGAATCAGCAGCATTTTTGACTACATCATACTCATAATTGAAGAGGAATCAAATTACCAACTTGAATTTTTAGATTTTCTGTTTACGAGTACGGATTCAGGAAAATTGGAAGCTGAAGTATACAGGAAACCAACTCATACGGATCAAATCCTCAACTACAGCGGCAACAGCACACAAAATCAGTTGTATAAAATCACTTCGAAGGAAAGAAGAAAACTACTCAACGACTGTTTTTTCAGAAGAACAGTTATCCACACAACATCGAAAGATGTTTGCATAATTCGGCGTCAACCAAGAAGTTAACTTCGAAAATTAGCAGATGGATTGTCTTACTCTATATAAAGAACGTCTCCGAGATCACTAGATAAGTGAAATTTTTGCGAATCTCTGTATCTCACAACCCCACAAAATCTCTTCACTGTGTTATACAGGCTTATAGATCCAATGGCAAAAGAAGACAAACCAAACATTATCTATAAAACAAACTGCAGAAACTAAAAAAACAGCACATCGGACACAGTCCTCACCCTCTTCGTATTCGTCTACATGAATATCAACTAGCAGTGAAACTTTACGACGTATCTTTACTCACAGACAGCTGTGGACATGGATTTGACTGGGAAAATGTGGAACTGCTGGATAGAGGAAATTCAAAGAATACGAGCGAATTTTTAGAAGCTCGGTATTTAGGTCAGTCGGAGATCAACATACATATTGACATTGATCCAGTTTATCAACTGATAAGATACAGAAAGGAGGTCTAAGTTCACGTCAGCGGGACAACAAATCGGAATAAATATGGAGGCAATGGTAAGACTTCGACAGAAACAGCCAATCACATACAAGGCACCAGGAGAAGTTACTCAGCCACTTGTGGAGAAAACTCAGTAGCTCACTTCTTTTTGAAGTTTGTGATGATGATATTACGATTAAACCATCCAGCTCAGAAAACACAACATCAAAATAAATCGTTTTATTTAAATTGTCCACTGGTTGAAGACCGATATAGCTGTGTTAAGTCTTAAGCGTCCAGTACTGACCGCAGTGTGTCAATAATACGACCTCTTAGCTATGTGGCGCGAAAGTGTTCACTCCTTTTTGTTTTATTTATTGGGGTTACAGATATACCTGGGTTCAGGGTTTCTTGGCTATCGACTCCTAATATTTGAGACTTTCGTATCTTTTATCATTAAGAAAGCTGACAGAAAATAGTCATTTCATACTTTTAGAGAGGTCAAATTTTGTTGGTCATCACTAAAACTCCGATTGGAAGAAAACTTCATCATTCTCTTCAGCCATTAATTATTTCCATATTATTTGCTTCCGTTTAGGGAAAGCTATTAATTTTCAATGTTTCATTATTTATGTCTACTCCGAATGTTTTAGTTGTCGATTCGAAAACTTGGTGTATGTTCATATGATGTTGGTTGTATTGTCCCGTCGTTGGTTGGACTGAATTGATTGTTCTCTATCGGGATATGGGCTCCTATGCGGATGCCTCGATACTGTCTGTCGCTTCAATTTGGTATTAATGATGGATAGTGACTAGCAGTGGAATCCAGGACGCACATTCCATCCTATTTGGGACTCGTCAGTTGGATGTACCTGCGCGGATGCCTTGATATTGCCTGCATTTGAAAATTACTTGGAAAGTTAAGAGACCATCTTTCTCCGCGTATGCATTCTACTGTGTAATTGTGATGCCTATAACGAGAATGCAGCAATAATAATCCCTATCCTACAATTTTAGATGAAATGCACATTTAAGTGCAGCTGAGTGAATATATCACCATAGCACTTGTTTTGCGAATTGTAAATAAATGTTAGCATGATGTACACAATACTAAAGGTCAGCGTTAGTCAACCCATCAAGCTTGGAGTGTTATCACCAACTGTTCACTAATGCGATATCAGATGATCAATGAAGCGAAGAGTACACAGCACAAAGATTCCCTCTCTCCTCCTCTAAACTTGTCAGACATAGGCATCGAAAGTGGAAAGGTTTTGGTTTCCTACTATACATATCTGCATAGCATTGCCACGTATGGTGCAAACAAAGCGTGAGTAGTATTCAGATGAAGCGAAGGGCAGCACGCAAGAAATGTCAGTTAGTGGATGGATTTTATAATCACCAGAGATAGCTTGGATGTGAGTTAAATATGCCAAGCTAACGCTTACCTCAATATGCCAAAGCAGAATTACGTTGAAAAGAAGCTAAAGGTGGTCAGATCAAAAAGTGTTACTAATCCAAGAATTTTCTGACTGTTCTGAGCTATGTAGGGAGTCTAAGCTGTGTTGCTTGAGCTCTTCTAAACAATGGGAATTAGTAGTTGGAGATCTAATCCTTACACAGGTTCATCACCTAAAAGATACCTATTCACAAAAATGCTGTATTAGTGCAAATATTTACGAAAAAGGGTGTCTTACTTTTCAGACAACCTTCTTATTGGCTCCCTGGTGGTTTACACATATGATGTAAGCACCTTTTAATAAAACACCTCTCGAACTAGCTTGGAAATCAGACTATGGTGAATGCAGTTCTCATTTGACTGGCCTCCTTAAACCTGTTTAGTATTATTTCGTCTAGTAGCTCTTTTCAGACAACTGCGTAAACTTTTTATCACTTTATCTTTTCAAGTATAACGTTTTGCCAGTGTTTTTTGTGCTTTCTGAGAAATGTCTAGATTAAGAAATATCGTAAAACGTTTGATTTTCACCTACTAGTATTTCACCTGTCTGCAAACTATTCATTGCAGCAGTTTACTTACCTGGCTACTATTATCAAATTCAAAGATTAATTTGAGGTCACTTTATTCAAAATGGTTTCAAAAATTTAACAAGTTGGTATTTTCAGACTTTTTTTTGAAATAATAGAAGCAATTATTGTACGTAAATAAAAAGACTTCAAAGACAAAACAATTAAAACGTCTTGTTCACTTATAAATTCGGTATCATCCTTCCAATTTGACTAAATAACAACATGAATGCCAAAAACTTATGATGGAAATTTCTTTTTTCAAACGTAACTGAATCCTGACTACAAACTGTTACAATTCAAATGTAGTAATATCCATGTTACTGGAAAACGAAAACGAGCATAAGATTAGTAATTGAAACTGTATACAGCATTTTGAAATGGTGGAGAACATTTGTGTCACAGGTGGATGATCTTGGTTGTGCTGTGTTCACTGAGCTGGATGGTTTAATCATGAAGCACCTAGAAAGACAATGAAAGTTTCCCGATTGGACCACCCACCTCAGGGAATGCAACACAACCTAGACTATAAAACATTGATTTAGATAATCAGTTGTTGGCCAACAGGATACGAGTAGTGAAGTTGTGGATCAGTGGTTTGGGGAGATGACTATCAACTGCTGGATCATTGGTTTGAGCCCCGCTCCACCCACCGAAGTTTGGGCAATCTGGTAGTATCACTAGCCCTCACATTACAGGTATGGCTCCTTGCTTACTGCATGGATGTGCGCATGGTGGGTGAGTGCGTTTCGGATACTAGTTTGGACCGCAGTTCACTTATTGGAACTTTTGTAGTTAAGCAGTATCAGTAGCCCTAGTAAGGTAGATTTGACTCAATACCTGATGTACAAATTCGTGTGTGGGTTTCTTAAAATTAAATTTTCAGTTTATTTCCCTTACAGGCTGGTAGTATCAGTCTAATTCAGTAGTTAAAAGCTTAGCATGACCACGTCACGCTTGGTAAACAAAATAGGTTTGTTGGCTTCACAAGCCCAAAGTAGTTTTGACAGTCTTATTATCCATTTCGTGGATATTTATTAGTACTTTGGATAATGACTGTTTGCTTTATATTCGTAAATGTATTTCTTGTTTAGTAATATATGAATCCTGTATATATTTTTCTTAGGACTGTGATGCTTTAGATGTTAACCATCTATGTTTAGAAGGAATTCGATATGCTATACGCATAGCTTGTATATTTCATATGGAATTGGAAAGAGATGCATATGTGCAAGCACTGGCACGATTTACCCTGTTGTTAACAACTTCTCATGTAAATCCTACTTCAAGTGGTAATTCATCAATTATGGGTGGGATTAGCCATCAAAGTGCTAATTCTCGACGTTCTCGATCAGAAAGAGTCAATATGAATTCTTTTTCTGGCACGAATGCTGTCTATTCGAGCACAGCAGGTTCAAATGTTATGAATTCAACTTTGTCGACTCCAGAAGCTATGAAACAAAAGAATATTGATACAATACGTACATTAATTACGGTTGCTCAAACTGATGGCAATTATTTAGGACATGCTTGGTTGGAAATACTAAGATGTATTTCTCAACTGGAATCAGCACACTTAATCACTCATGCTGTTTCATCCACGAATGGATTGAATGCAAGTGGTACACACTTTGTGTCTCGTTCAACAACGTACAGTAAGTCTAAGTGATCTTTTACCTTTTAAAATTTTAGCTGAATATATATAATGATTGTTTTTCGAAATAAACTGTATGACGACTGTTTGGTTTGGTTTGGTTCACACCAAAGATATCTGAATTTCTAGACTTTCTCTACACAATGACTAACAAACCAGTGCAGAACCTCGCACACAGGTGCATCGGCTCAAATTGCCACACTTCAAAGTAGTACCCAATAACAGGTGCATAGAAAAAGACATAGACAAGGTTGTGTGAGAGAATAAACAATCTGAAGATAAAGGTTAGTGTGAATATTTAAGTTTTAGATATCAAACGGTGAATACATCTGTTTCATTGTGAACGACTTTCAGCCATGTCATCAAGAGTTATCTACCACTGATTCCTTTCGTCTCGGGGACCCCAGCCAGGTAGTTAGTCTACATCTTCCCACAGACGGATAGCCAGGGGCTACATCGACTGATATCACCCTGAATCCTATTGCAACCCAATCCAATCGTCCCCAGCATAACGCGTCGAGGTAAGTGGTGACTCAGCATGCGCAGTACATGTTCAACTCATCTCAGTCGACTAAGTTTCACAAACTCATCAGTCGACTTGCTTGTCTTGCCTAGTACCCTTCACCCGGCCTCAATATTAGTCACACGGTGATTCCAACAAACGTGAGCAATACTACGAAGACACCTATGATCGAAACCCTGTAATTGTTTCATATCTTCTACTTCTAACGATCATGTCTCACATTCGTACAACAGGAGAGAGCGTTCTGCAGTGTAGTATACTCGTTCTTTGATAGATATTCGGTCATGTTGTCAGTAGGTGGTACAGATGACGCAAGTTAGGAAATGCTGAAGAGGCCTTCTGTGCCCAAGCTGAGATTGGATCAGCAACCAACCCGTTTTGGTTGATGCAAATTCCCAAAGCAAGTGAGGTGGTCGACACATTCCACCACTTCACTCCCTATCATTAAACTGGGAGTACTTGTAGCAGACCAATTCCTGGAGCATCGTCTTACATTTGATAGGTTCGAAATGCATGCCAAATATATACTCAGATTTCTGTTCAACGCTTTCGAATGACCCTGCATTTTGTCAGCTTCTTCCTCTTCATAATGTTCATTAGTTGTACAAATAAGAAAATGCCTAATTTCCAAGTTGTCTTCACATGAGCCACTGTTGTTATAGTTTTGCTAATCATTTTTCTGAGAGCTAAGTGAAGTTGTGCATATTTGTATTCGCATAGTTCACGATGAAACCAGATGATAATCTTATACCTTATTAAAATGGCAGTTGCGTTTTTTTTTGAAACCATTGTAAAGGATTTCTGTGTAAACAAATCCTAAAGCTTTTCTAATATCGTGTATTACTCAAATGAACTATCTCCGTAATGTTCTACCATTGCTTTGAGGTAGAAATGAGAAAGAATTCTCATTGATCACAGTGAATGATTTGCGCTTAGCACCATAGATTCACCTCACACTAATAATTGAGCCTTCTTTTTAATACGAATTTTGATTTCAAGGTTAAGGGTACGCTTTTTCAATAGTTAAGGGTCCTTAAGCAAGAACTCAATTATTGGCTGCAAGATAGATACTGTGTATACCTTGATAATCACCTAGTTGTTGTACAATAATGCGTGTGACAGGTGGCAAGATTTTTTAAAATTCTATGCATCTAGTTTACAGTCACTGTTTCTTTGTATGCTAAAAAAAACAAACTAATAAGCATCTTACTGTCTTGCTGACAAATCTCCTTCACAATATTCTTTACTACCTTTTGGTTACCATGGTTTCTTTTCCTCGTGAAACAACATCAAACCTCATTATTTGAGGAACCATGACAACTGTTTATTGTTATTTATTGAAAATAGGAGAGAAAAAATTACCTTCCCATTTTAATACCTTTATTGTTTTATTACTAGGTCGAAATATTTTCCGATACTGCTGATGATATTATGCTCACAAATCATTAGATGACCAATTGTAATTCAATGTATTGCTTGAAGGATGTGTTTTCTTCATTGTTGTTACACAACTGATCTCTTTGACTTTGAGTTTTAGGAAGCGAAATTCTCTACCTGCATTGATTGATTAGTGTGTATTCTTTTTTACATCTAGTGCAAAGTGGAATCTCTTCATCAATATTTCGGTTCTCATTCAGCTGTTGTGTAATCGTAATTTATACCAGATATGTAACTAGTTGAGGAGAAAATCTTTAATACGCAGTTAGATACTCAGATTGACAATAATTATAATAGAATACTTATTTTTTGCCTACAAAAGGGGATATAGCTTATATTTGTGTCAACATCACTAGTCACTTGATGATGCCCATATGGGCACAGATCTCAGTGTTACTTAAATTTCCCATTTCCCACAGCGTTATACTTGGTCTTTCTTCGTAGGAAAAAAAGTGCATAGAATAATTACGTACAGATGGTATTCTTTTTTTTTCACAAAGTTAATAAATTATAGGCAACGACAACTTACCACAAAAATGTTACTGTTATATAGTTAATTTTAAAAACATTTAGAATTATGCGGTGTCATTCGCATACGAATTCCACTTGAAAAGTATGTTCAATTCAAAATTCCCCATGAGTTGAAATGAACGTGGATGAAATCACTGAACTAATCGTCCGGATCGTGCTGCATTCATGTAAATTTATCATAGCTACAACAGGATTTTACGTTGAAAGATTTTCGGATTTCATTTTGAAACGTGTCGAACAACTATTTCATTGTATTCTACTACTGTTCACTGAAGCCTATTCGAAATTCTCAGTTATATATTGTATTCATAATCCTATTCAGTGAATACTTTGTAGTGTACTCAGTGAATGTACCTGTATATCAAACTTTTCAACTATTACTTTCCAGATTCATATAGTACTTCTTATAGTCAAAATATGAATGGAACAACTGTCGGTAATCCCTTTCCATCAGAAGGCGGTTTCATGAAGTCAAACAGTATTATATCACCTACTCCATCGGTTACATCAAATCATATTATGGCGTCTAATTTGAATGAACCAGTAGCTCCTGGGAGTTTAGCCGCTGCTGTTGTAGATTCTAAAAAGGCTGCCGTTTTACAAGAAGTGATGGTGAGACTGGATCACAGAGTGTTGTAGTTGCTGTAGACAAAATCTTCACCGGATCAATTCGTTTGGATGGTGATGCTATCGTGGAATTTGTAAAAGCCCTATGCCAAGTAAGCTTTAGGTGATTTTTAACTCTGATGTTAGGTGGTTGGAGGCAATCAGCAGGAAACCCTTGACCTAGGTTTCGTGTTTGTTGGCGCTCAGCAAGGTGTATTCGCAACCTAAGAGAAATGACCGCATCATCCACTGATGCAATCAGAGAGGTTACTACTGATCTATTCGGGCCATGATTGACCTGTAGGATCAAATTAGGCACATTGCTTGGCCACTGGAGAGTAACCAATTTCATGTTGTCTAATCCTGAGTGCTGATCGGAATCTATCGATCACTGTAATGTCACCAGGCTAGAAGACTCGTCATCGTGGTGCACTTTGATTGGTGTTATGTTTTGACTTCGTCCAGTACTATTTCTTCATGTGTGTGTATGTGTGTGTTTAGCGGGTATCTACACATGTGATGTAAGCGATTGAGTTCCGAATATTTGATTATTACTTCGAAGTTACCAGGTGGATGGTACTGTTAGTCCTGACATCGGGTGGTATAACTCCATGCATATAACTGTATTATATACTAGTCTCTCGTGTTTACTGTGTTCAACAATCCGTTTGACATCAGCTTTTCTTTAAAGTAATCTGTTATAAAGTGCAGCTACTTTTGCGAAAGTTAATTAGATCAGTGGAAAATTACTCATGCGTATGTATTGTATTTATCAGTGGGCTGATCAAATTCATTTACTAGAAACTTTTTCTGTGAAGCCCTTGAAGTTAAATAAGAACTCCTGTGATATGTAGTTATCTTTCCAATCTGCGTTTCCGATGCAACTGATCATTGTTAGCTTGGAATACGCTGTAATCGAGGCATTAAAATATAAACATATGTGAATCGAAGCCAGTGGGATCAAAGTTAACCGTGGTGTTTATGCAACTAGTCGCATTATGATTAGCATTTGTGAACGAAGTTACACTTCTGATTGTAGGCTTTCCTTTCAAATCCAAGATGTAATCATCTATATGAACACCAAAATATGTGGATGGATTATCTATAAACTTTAATTCGTGCATGGGTCTTTCCTGATGATTCAGATTTTAACGCAAGCACAACTTTTGTTTACAAACTTATTGTATCCCACTTTGTTTTATTTATTGATAAATATACAAGTTAAGCCAACCGTATTTGTTATTTTTTTCTGGACGGCATTGAAATGTTATTTCTCTCCAATTACTTTGATATCGTAAATTGTTCAGCACTTTTCCTAACTATTCTACTGTTTCGCCTACAGGTCAGCCAAGAAGAGTTAAATCTTCCTCAACCAAGGACATTTTCGTTACAAAAAGTTGTTGAAATCTCCTATTACAATATGGGTCGTATTCGATTACAATGGTCACGTATATGGGAACATATTGGTAGTCATTTTACTACAGCCGGACGATCAGTTGACGAAGATGTTGCTGAATTTGTAATCGATTCTTTACGTCAGTTATCTGTAAAATTAATAGAAAAAGGTGAATTGCCTAATTTCCACTTTCAGAAAGAATTCCTGCGGTAAGTAAACCGATATAATTAACAATTAATTTCCTCCTCAGTTATTTAGTCTCTCTTTCAAAGTCTAAGAATATGAAATGCTATATGTTTCATTTTAAAAGAAATTTCTATCACCCTGTTGTGTCAATTTATGTTGAGAACTGATTTCAAACTGTAGTCACACATTTTCGGCCTCTGTCATACGAAGGAACATAGCAGTCTGGAATATTTTCAGGTTGGATTTCATCATGAACTGACATCAGTTGGAGAAACACTGTAAACTTGGGAGCAATGGACAGCTGTTTCGTCATAGTACGGGGCTCCTTATTAGTGTGCAATACCTTCAGGTTTCGTGACCGGTACAGCTACTCAACGACAGCACTGGATGGAGGTCTCGTCAGGTCGTGAACTGATAGAAGGGAATATGGACCATCGGATTCCAATTCAGTAGCTCAATGATGACATGCTGGCTACGAGACCTGAAGGTCATGAGTTGGGTCCCTGGAGGGCGGAGTCATGGACGCGCATTGCTGAGGAGTCCTGTGCTGAGATGAACCAGCTGTCCAGTGCTCCCAAGTTTCCAATGTTTCCCCAACTTATGTCAGTCCATGATGAAATCCAACTTAAAAACAATAAATAAATCTCCACAAAAATAAAATGAGCAATAGGGGAGGCAACTACGAAACACAAATATGATTTAGATCTTTAGAAAATGGCAATATTAGCGAAGTGTATCTTTTCAGTTAGCTCTTTATTAACAAACCGATACTAGTATGTTTCATTGTCAGGCAATCCAACAGCATATCAATCCACATGACTTATCTATACTGAGATGACGCTTTCTGTTATTCATTTTATAAACTATTTTTGTTGTCATTATTACAGTTTTATTTTTATCTCTAGTTGTTCTTACGTGATTCCTGTCGATAACTTACCACTAAACATAATTATTCATCATTTCCTAATGCCTACTGTGCAAAGTATCAAGCATGTAACAATCCGTTTCAACTTTCACAGTGCTCTACCATATAATTAACTGCTATAATAATTTACTTGATTAATTATCCCCTTCCTTGATATCTGCAAATTTGTGATCTATTAATTAACTTTTGTTTACTAAGTGAGTGTCTGTTGTACTTTTTATCAATAATTTATGTTAGTGTAAAGGCGTTTATGACAAGCTATCTGGAAAGGAGTCGAGCTTTGGCTCATTGGTTTACGCAGCTGGCTTTCAACCCGTGGGTCATGCATTCGAACACTACTCCAGCTTCTGAGGCTTTGGTAGCCAGGTAGTATCATTCAAGATTCATACAATGGGTATGGCTCTCATTGCTTACTGCACGAATATGCACAAGTTGATCGAGTGCGTTTTGATTTTTTTTTTTTCAAGCTGAAAAGGAATATTTCTTCGCCTGGAAACTTCGTTTCCTGAAAATTATTCTTCATATAGTCGCATATATTTCTTTCTTAATCTTTCTTTAGAAATGTAGTGGTATTATTTATTGCCTAATTTTATTACAACGCTTAGGCAGATAGACCGAAGTAGTATCTCTTACAAGTGCATCAGTTTAAACTGTCTTATTTCGCATCAGCAGAAAAAGATAAAATGATTGCAAATGAAACGATGGCAAAATAGGTGAAAATAAGACAAGCAGAGATAATAAATAAATGATGGCCAATAATGTAGCCGTAATTTTGAAGGTGCTAAAGATTGGGAAAATTCAATGCATATTGAATACATCAGTAGTTGAGTGCGTAATTCGAAAACAACAATTCCATTTTATTAGAAAACAAAGGTGATACAGCAGCAACAAGCACCAATCACCATCAACGGGAAAAATCTAAAAGAAGTTGTCTCTTTCACCTACCTACCTAGGCAGCATCGTTTCAACTACAGGTGGCGGCACAGATGAGGATGTCAAAACCAGCCGGGATAGGAAAGACAGCAAGACAGGCCTTTATTAATCTGAAAGCATTGTAGAGATCTACTGCACTCCATTCAGCATACAGAACAAGATCCGGATGTTCAACAATAATGTCAAGTCATTGCTTCTATATGGTTGATAAACTTGGCGCATCACAAAAAGTATTTCCAACAAACTATAGATATCCATCAACAGCTGTCGCCTACGCTGGTTCGATACTGAAGATCAGATGGCCAGAAAGAATAAGCAACAAGAACTCTGGCTGGCTGGGAACGAACCAACCAAGAACCTATCGCCCAATAAATGTGCAGAAGAAAGTGGAGATGGGTTGGGCATACACTGAGAAAACCATTCTGAGACATCACGCGCCAGGCCAGAACCTCCAGTGAAATCCAAAGGGGGAACGACGAGTTGGGCGTCCCAGCTGAGGGTAACGTGGAGGAGGTGGTGTGAGAAAAAAATGAAAGCTTATGGGCAGTCGTGGAGCCAGGTTGAAAAGATTGCGGAGAACAGAGTGAAATGGAGATGTGCTACTGAATCCCCATGTTCCACTAGAAACCCAAGGGACAAATAATAAATTTAAAAGGTTCCATTTTAGTACTTCTTGAATATTTTACAAACACTGAGCATTTATTTCTTTTGTTCTAACATTCTGATCTTTTTAATTATAAACTTTCACTTCATTGATTTCAATTTGGTATTATAATTTCAGCCCTTTTGTGAATATATTAGAAGCTGAATCCAATGTGAGTCAAAAAGTTCAAGATATGATAGTTCGTTGCGTTTATCAATTGGTACATTCACAATATGCAAACATACGATCTGGATGGACTAATATATTCGCTGTCCTCCATTCAGTAGCTTCTTCTATAAATGAATCGATTGTTGATATGGCATTTGAAACTTGTCATTTTACTGTGAAAGATGTTTTCAAAGAACATTTGCATATTGTGGTGGATGCTTTTCAGGCGAGTGACTCTTTGTTGTGTGATTTTTTCGGATTACTAACTATGAATCATTTCGTATACATGATGAGATAACATTTACAATGATCGCACAACAAAATCTTATGCGAATAGTGAGTTAAATAACCAAAAACTTTGACGAATCCCTTTTCCCTTACCGGGAGCTGTTAGATATACAAGTTAGTTGTCTACAATCGTAGCCCCACTTCGTTGTAGGAGTGGGACAGGCTGAACTATATAGGAAGAAAAACAAATATGTATTCGAGGCGCTAGATGTTAAACCGTGCGCGATCCTCAAACCCCTTTATCTCAGGTTAAAAGCTATGAACTTGTCTGTACCTGAGGAAATTGTATTTTTGATCATACCTGCTACCAGTTATATTTGTGTAAATGCACATTGTAGTTACAAGCATTGAGCATACCAGTGTCTTGTAGATTCTTGTGGCGAATTAACTACATGAAACCCCTTTTTTATGTTGATATCTAGAACTTGTTATTTAAACAGTTGAAGAATTTCATAAGACAGTCGACTAAAATTTATAATACCAAAGTAGTCGACTGCGAACTGTTCCCTTTGTAGTGAGGTAAATTCTCACTTGTAAGTTTTCGACTTAGTACTCTTGTTAATGATTTCTATTCCTATTACTATTGTGTTTTTTTTGCGATTGATATTTAAGCCTTTGGTAAAAGCACTCGCCGAATTTTCGTGCAATCCACGATTTCCTGATACAGCTATGGAAAGTATTCGATTAATTCGTATTTGTGCACGAATAGTTGCAGAGCAGGGATCAGTGTTCACAGGTGTACAAAATTCGGAGTTATCTGTGGGCAATTCAATAGAATCTTTTGTTTCTGAACCGAAATATACCATCCATACATATTCATTACCTGAAGATGATCAGATTTGGTTAAGAGGTTGGATGCCTGTTCTGTGCGAGTTGTTTCGTGTAATCAATGGGTATGTAGTCTTTTTCTTTCTCAGTTCCGATTTACTACATGTTAAGGTCTAAAGTATGTACATGTATTAAATTCAACCAGTTCTAATCCATTTGAACTACAGAATACAGTCTTTTAAAAAAGCTTTTATCAGTGCACATTTACGTACCACTGCGTTATTGAAAAGTGTTTCAGTTGTTATCATCTAGCATTTTCTTACTTCTTGCAAGATAAGAGGAAGTTTATATCCTCCTTATTCTCCTCCACAGTAACACATTTATGACGCCGACTCGTATAGTAAATTTTATGATTATGGTTTTATTTGAAAAATTCACTTGGTACGACGTAAACACCAACTAATTAATTAATAGTCGCTTTATTGTAATCAAAATGTGTGATACAGTATGGAATTGTCAGCATGTAATATTTCAGCAAATTCTTTCCCTATACACTATTTTTAAAGACAATAATAGGAAACAGGTAGCTGGTGGTACAATAGCATCTGATCTAGACGGGTCTAGAATTGAAAACCAAGCATGTTTTGATGGTGGTAGTTTATTCAGCCAGTAAAATGTTTGCTATTCCATGTAGATATCCTAGGAGTAGTAATGTGCTGCATTTTTTTTTACCGGCGCAAAAGTTTTCCTTTGTTGTTAGTTTGAAAACATTCAAAATATGTGCGAGAGTTCATGATACCAGGTTGGTATTCATCATGGACTGACACCAGTTGAAGAAACATTGGAAATTTAGGAACACTGGACAGCTGTTTCGTTCTGACATGGGACTCCTCAGCGCACCCATGACACCGCTAGGTAACGTACTGGCCACTGGAACTTGAAGCCTCTGGGTTTGATCCCTGGAGGGATCATCGTTGCTCACTGCTGAGGAGTCCCATGTCAGAACGAAACAGCTGTCCAATTCTCCCATGTTTTCAATGTTTCTCCAACTAATATCAGTCTGTGATGAACACCAACCTGAAATCAATAAATGAATCCTCACAAAGCTCAACACTGGAGTACATGATACGTTTAAAGGACATAATTAAAAGATTAAAACAAATTGAAAAGAAAGAATTCAAGGAAATATATATTCAGTGGAAAATTCTTATTAGCTCAAGGTTCAAGTAGGCCTGTAAATATCAATAACTGTACCACAGTAAAAGTAACAGTAAACTATTATTCTGTAGCAATCCAATGAATTATAGGCTACTGGCATCCATTCTTTATAATGAAGTGGAATATTACAGTATTCTCTACCTGTTTGCTTGCTGTTCACTTGTTTACTTCAGTATTTGAATTCTGTTAATTATCTCCTTCTCAACTGTTTTAAACTGACTTCTTTTAGTCCAAGCTTCTACATTGTTGTATTTATCGTATATTATTGTCAGTGAACTAAGTATATACTAAAAGTGAAATTGCAAAATAAAATCACACCTTTAAGTTCACTAAATGCGTACATAATAATTTCTAGTAAAATGTGTAAGAAAGAGTTTACCAAAATGCACTTTTTATGACTGGCATTTTTTTCATGAAATCTCTTTCAGGCTAGCATCGTACTTGTAGTAATTGTAGAGCTTTGACTCGTTGTTTGTTCAATCCTTCTGTCAACCGTTTGCCTATGAGGTCATACCTACGTCACCTGAGTAGTGTTGGGTTTTTATTCAGCAAATGCGTTCACAGCATACTTATTATAATCACTGTGATAAATGACAGTAGACACTTCTCTATCCCTTTTTTTCTAGTAATCAACATATTCTTTCTTTTTCCTTGTTATTTTGCTTTCCTTAGTTGTAAACTAGATGTACGTACACGTGGTCTTACTGTATTTTTTGATATATTAAAATCACATGGCAACCAGTTTAAACCACTGTGGTGGCGTGAAACATTTGCTGTTATCTTCCGAGTTTTTCATCATTTCCGTATTCCTTCAGTATCATCAGAATTCGGCAATACACCAAGTGGATTAGAGTTAGAGACAACAAATCATCACTCTTCAATATCCTCATCAACACCTGGACCTAATGCCCAGCTGACTGCCAACGGTATTCACCATCAGACTCTTTCAAATATGGAACGCACTGAATGGATGAATACTACTTGTAATCATGCATTATTTTCTGTTGTGGATATATTTACCCAGTTTTATGACGTGCTACATGATATATTATTAGGTATGAAACAAATTTTGATTATTTAAACGTAACACTATATCATGTTTCTTTTTTGGGGTTTCGTTTTATATTTTTTCAAATTGATGTTCATCTGGTTGTTTGATACTTGTAATTTCCCGTTACTATCCACTGTCATATTGCTCAGCCTCTGTTGGTAGATGGTCTCCTATGCGAATGCCTTGATACTGCCGGATATTCATAATGTTATGTCCACCTTGGTGAGTAGAAGTAGAATCTAGGACGCGTTATTCATCCTGTTTGGGACTCATCAGCTGGAGGTCGCGCAATTCAACCCTGTATAGCAACGTTTGAAGCGGTAGGTACTGGATTCAAGTTTCATTGGTAACAACATCATCCACTGGGGTGCAGTTATGTCCAGCTGATGAATCACAGTTAGGACGAAATGTGTGTCCTAGATTCCACTGCTAGTCACCGAGATGAATACAACTTGGTGTTCATCTTATTGGGTTGTGATTTTTTTTAGTGCTTATATGTCGTTCTATTATCACTCAAGTAGGCAATTTAATAGTGAGATATTTGCATATCTGAAATTTTCATCCCGCGTTGATTCACACTAATCTTTATATGGAAAGGTAATAAGAAGATATACGTAATACTATTTCTTACTGACACTTCGAAAAGGACCGTTATAAACTGTACTTCATCTTTACAGTATGTTTTGGGGATCGCCTATACCTATTTTGTGATTGTTAGATATCTGAGAAAATATGACTTCAGTGATCAAATGAAAGAAAGTATCTCAACTATTTTTACCACTATAATTGCTAACCCAGCTTAACGTTCCATTGAACATAGGTAAGTGTATAAACTAATAGACTAACTGACAAAATCAACGTCGAACCTCGTACTGTAGTGCATCGATTCAAGTTACCAAACTTCACTCTAGTACACAAAGAGCAGGTGGACAGAAAAAGACATCAAAGTAGATAAAGTGTGAGAGAACAAAGGTTAGTGCGAATATTTGAACTTTAGAAGATATCAAGGAGTGAATACATCTGCACTCGTGACCGACTTTCAGTCATGTAACCAAGAGTAATCTACCACTCTTCCTGTCGTCCTGGGAATCCCAGCCAGGTAGTTAGTCTACATCTTCCCACATGACTCAGGTTAACATTCAGGGATTTCACTGACTGAAGCCACCCTTAATCTTCTTCCAATGTAGTCCAATTTCTCCTAGCGTGACACGTCGTGGTAGACAGTGGCTCGGTATGCGCAGTACATGTCCATTCCGTCTTAGCCGATGAAGACACAACCTCATCAGTCGACTTGCTTGTCTTGCCTAGTACCCTTCACCTGACCTCAACATTAGTCACACGGTGATTCCAACAAACGTGAGCAATACTACGAAGACACCTATGATCGAAACCCTGTAATTGTTTCATATCTTCTACTTCTAACGATCATGTCTCACATTCGTACAACAGGAGAGAGCGTTCTGCAGTGTAGTATACTCGTTCTTTGATAGATATTCGGTTATGTTGTCAGTAGGTGGTACAGATGACGCAAGTTGACAATATCAATCCGGTCTTCTGTATCGGAGCTAAATCAATACATGTAACTTATGTTCAACTGAAATGTCATGATGATGAGTCCATCTGGATAGCTGTACTAGTATTTTAACTGGTAAGCAAACTCTCAAATACTGTTTACCTGTGAAAGACAGACAAATCAATGTACAACATTCAACAGAAGTGTTTCAGTTCAAGCTATCAATCTTAAAAACCAGACACAAAGAGGAGATGAAATGGAACAGAGTGATACTGAAGGAGACAAAAGTGTATGAGAGAAGACTGGATAAATAATTGGAGGTTAACGAGATGTCAACTGGGTGACACCAGCTAAGATCTCCGAGGAAGCATCAGTTCCCTCTACCTTACTTATGAGTACCAACAAGCACAACATCTAAGTTGAGGGTTTCCTATCAATATTGTTCAACTACCTAATATCAGTCGAAAGTAATTATCATGGTGAGCATATAAGTTTGTCAACCACATTGTAAATTGGGTCAATAAAATTCGGTAAGCAATTTTGGTTTCTTTTCGTTTGCTCATTATTTCCAGAGAATTTTTTATCTCTTCATCACCTTGGCTACACTGATTGTGCATCTGTTCATAATATTTCTAGATACACTAGTATTATCTTTGTGTACTCAAAGTACTTTGCTTGTAAATATAGATGAAGTAATGATACAAGTAATACTGTTTAAATGCACTTTAAATCAAGAGTTCAGTTATGTCACTTAATAACCAAGTGATTCGTTAGTGAATTGTTGGAAATTAAATGCTCTTAATCCTAACATTTCTCACCTTTTTTTTGTTTACCTTAGATGATATATACCAACAACTTCGTTGGTGTTGTCTACAGGAACACGAGCAGTTAGCTCGTTCTGGAACAAGTTGTTTAGAGACACTAATTCTGTCTAACGGTAAACGATTTAGTGACAAAATTTGGGAGTCAACTGTGAATTTAATTGTCGATCTCTTTAAATCCACTGTACCGCATCAATTATTAACATGGCGCCCGGTGAGTGTCTAGTGCTAGAGTGGTGATATGTCGGTATTAAATCCAACGAGAGTACTAATTTTTTGTTGCTCTTTTACTCTCATGATATAAATGGATACTCGAATAGCTCAGTGGTAATGTCTCTGACTGCAGTGCTGGGTGATTGGATCCTAATCTCAGGCGGAAAATCAGTTCTGTAGAAGTTACGGATATGCCTTGCTCATGAGTGCCAAAAAGCATCAAAACTGGGTCCATGACTTTCTGTCGATTGCCTGCATCCAACTAAAAAACGGATACTCTATTTAGCTTTTCCGTTTGAAATCTGTCTCCTGCTGATTTACTCCTATAACTTGGTCAGTGAACTCCATCTTGTGTGAAATTCGTGTTAAAAACGGAAGCTGTCTGAAATTCATTTTCACTACGAATTGACATCAACTGAGAAGGCACTTGACAATTATTCATACATTAGAACTGTTTAAGGTTAAGCACATATTCCTACTGGATTGAAGGCCACTAATCTATACTTTCCAACCTTATAATTATGCTCTCATCCTTCATTATCATCTGTCTTTATCCGTCTTCACTCAAACTTTTTTCTAACACACGAGTGAAAGATCTAATAAGTCTCAATGTTCTGAACTCAATTTCCAAAGGGATTCGAAATATTTGAACAATATTAGCTCTAAATCCTCATATTGTGGAGTTTTTCTTAGTTCTCAGTGGTTCTTTTGATTATTTCACCTGGACAGAATGATAGACGAGCAAGCAGAAGAGCGTAAGGCATCATGTCAATGTGCAATATTTTAAGCTACGACAATTAGCCAATACATAGGAAGAAAACCAACAGTAGTGGGACGCGATTAAAGTGACCAGTGTGAATATGTACGAAGAGAACTAACAAACTGAAGTCTGTAAGATACTGAGTATTTTGATGATGATGAAAAGCTAATACGTCTGCACCAGCGTATTTCCAGTCGTTCAGCTAACATAGTTTGAATGATTTTGAATTTTTTTTTCCAAGTGAAAGTGTAATTGATTTAGAGCGCTTGTTGATTTGAAACCCATTAAAAGTATCTGGGCCTATTTTTTACTGCCGTCATTTATCAGACCACTACTTCTCTACTTTATTATTTCGTAGTGAAAGAACGATATCCAATGAGTTTTGACTTTTTATAAAACTCTACACTTTGCATACTGATGTAAAGTGTAATGTGGTTATTTGAACTGATGCATTTCTGTGATGATAGGTTCTACGCTGATTTATCTGTCTGACATTCGAATTTATTGACTTTCTTCGACAAATCTGCGCACATGTGTACAGATGCGTTTATGTTAACCCAACTTTTCCCTGCCAGTTTAAAAACCGAAATACTACTTAATAATGATCTAGCCAATTATAAAAGATAGTAAAACGATAAAATATGATGAAGTGTAGCGGAGTCTTGAAAAGATGTGTCTTAAATTAGCCAAAGATGATTGGTGGGATTCAAACGTCATAGTTAGGAAAGTGGTTTCGTGACTTATCTGTCAACTGTTTTTATTGTCTTTATGAAAAAGAACACATCAAGACGTTTTACAGTTGTTACTTAGCTTTTTACTAGACGAAACTTTTGAATATTTGTCTTAATTGTATTATCCTTCATAAAACTGCATATTTCTGGAGCACCACTAAGCTCCATCTAATCAAGCTTATTTAAATTGAAACTCACCAAATGATGTAGTCTTAGAGGAGGGGGGGGGGCGGCATTCTTTGCAAAAAAGCAAAATTTTTAACCAAAAACCGTTCTTCTTGTTTATCCTGTGAACAGGAACAAATGCCACTTGAAATCAGTGATCAAAGTATTACTTCAAATGCCAGTGGAAGTCATTCATTACCTGGTCATATTGCTAGAGCACATTATTTGCTGACCTGCTAAACAAATGTGTAGTACAGTATGAGTTAATACAAACAGTGGATCATATTCTATTTTATTCAGCGCATAGCAGAAATGAAGACATTCATTATTGCATGAAGCACGTCGATTGGCTGCTGCCTCGTATCCAGCCTTTCAAGCTGCTTTACAAGTAGCTACGTCGACAACAAATCAACCTCCAGTTACTGCATCATCTTTTCTTACAGTAGATAACAGTATTGCGGGAAGTAAACTGTCAATAGATATTACCAGTCATGGATCTAGTTCAAACAAGAGCCTAAGTAAAGATGATCTTCGTAAGTTATTCAAAGATATTGTTTGGATTTATTTGAATTCCTTTTTTCCCCATTCATCTGATTGGTCTTCTTTCAAATTCTCATACAGACCTGTCCATACGAAATTCGCTACGGGTTACTTTCGTTCATTGCAAGATGTATCTTGTAACGTAAGATAATAGATAACTTCACCAACAAGTCTATTACTTACGTAGGGTTTACTGAACATTAAAACCACTTCCATATTGGTCGTCGAATAATTGTCGACGCGCTATGTCTTATGAATAAATCACGTGAAAAATAATATTGCAAACAACTAGAGGATGGTTCATACTAACTATATTCGTCAGAATTAAAAATAGTAGTAATTATGATAAAGTTTTCAATCTAGCACACAAATACTGATGAAAAATGTTGCACGACTCGTTTTACAAAAGGTTTAGTTCTCCTAAGCAAAATTTTGATCAGTTGACAAGACTGCATCTCATGTGTTTTGGTATTACTTTTGTTTGTATGTGCAGGCTAGATCGTTTCAATTGTAGCCCAACGAGACCATCACAGTGGTACGAAAGTTATAAAGAAATAGCTGTTTATATGAAAATAAGTAATTGAGACATATTTCAGTGTTATTTGTTTGAATTTGTAGTTTTTTCTCTCTCCAACTTTTCTTTTCAGTCTTGTTGTCCACCCCCGAAGGATGACTTTAATTTTCACACAATCAAACTACTTCTTCCACTAATTTAGCTTTGACAACAAATTAGTGGTTTCGATCTGCGTACAAACTTGTATCTAGTGACTAGTTTTAAATTACATTTCATTTAAACTTTCTGTTCTTTCTTTGAAGTTCCCACATCTTTTAAGCATACATTTCATCCGGCTCATCTTTTGATTTACATGGCAAAATTTTCATAATTGCTACCACATCAGTCTGTTTGGCATTATACTGGCTACAGTAATTAGAGTATACTGAACTTGCGTAAAATACTAACTTCGTTTTTCAAAACAGTTCTATGCATCACCAAGTATATATATATATATAATTTATCTAAATGCTTACTAACTCAAACCGTTAACCATCTCTAACGCATGACCTTTTGATAAGTTGATCAAAGGAAATCTCAAATAATGAGAATAATTTTTAAATTTTCAGCTCATTTCTACCCTTTTTTGAAGGTTCTTAATTCACAATTTATCATTATTTTAGTCTTAAACCTTTACCCTGTCCAACCTAACTAATAAATCACACCTCTACTGTAGGTATTTCACATTCCTCTGATAATCCTCTCAGCGTATTGGAGGATGAGGAAATTTCTGGTCAATATAATTTTGAAAGAAAATTGGATAATATGACTCCATTAGTTGGAGCTAGTCCGTTGCCATCAGATTCTCGAGGTATGTACCCACATCTATCGCCACAACATCGTCTCATTCTGGCAAAATGTCTACTTGGATCACACGCATTCGCTAAACAATTCAACTCACATGATGAACAGAGAAATATTCTATTTCAAGCTGGTTAGTTTTCTTCCTAAACAATTTTTCTAATGATTACCTTGCATTTATGTATTCTTCACCTTTTCACGCGTACATTGGTTCTATTAATTGATATATTAGTCAAAAAAAGTGAGGAATTCTTCATATTAACACTACACAGTATACATAATCGCCAAAGAAAATTTCTTTTGCATAGCTCTATTCTAATATTTAGCTTTTATAGTTTTAACTAAAATGCGTGTTCTACCACCCCTAGACCCTATGCAACATTAGAAAATAGCACTAACCAAGTCCATTTTTGTAGTTGTAAGCTCAAAATGATGAGCGATGATTATGCATATCAGGTAGAAGTGACTCATATGAACCTCGGATGTTTAATGAAACAATATTGATGTTTAATTTCCTGAGCTGTGCTACTATTACGGAAATAAATAAAATGCATAGGAAATTACGTTCGACTATGATGTTCATATATTTGTGATTGCAGTCTAGTAGGAAAACAATAAAGTCGCAACAAAAGCATGTGGCGCAAACCCGCAGATGGACAAGGTGGCAATAATTCATTCTTACGGGATAAAAGGGAATGACTGAAGGGTCCATGATTTCAGGAAGAAGGGTTAGGTTGAATTAGTTTACCTATAATTTATTCCTGTGATAATCACCATTAAGCTTCATCCATTGAAGTCTAGATTTGGGCAACTTTGTCTATTTTACCCTCTTGATATGCATACGAGTATGAAGTAAACCACAGAACATGAGACAAACAACGAAGAAGAGATGGGCCGTAACAGAGATCTTTCTACGGAAAAGAAACATGGATTGGACAGTGTCTCCACTTTGACAGTTTTTGTCCTATGAGTTATAAGCAAGAAATAGCTAAAACGCTTCCACAAAGGGCTAAGAAACTGTTCGTCAGAAAAGCTGACTGAAGATGTTTGAAAGAAAATGGTTACCCCAAGAGAGACTTATCGATAAAGCCACAGTGAGAACAGCGAAAACGAGCGAACTTAACAACCCTGAGAAGAAACTTGTGTTTCTCTATCTGACTTTTTCAAAGGTGAATGAACTGATGGACAGGGTTAGTAGAAGAATAAAAACCGCACTAAAAATCACTCTCCCACCAGTTAAGTTAGTCTCTATTATACAAAACAAAGTGTTCACTACAATAATCGAAAGTCAACAGGTTTCCGGCTCATGTCACCTCAAATTGTATTTACTAATCCGTGTATGAATGCCAGAACACGTGCTTCGGAAGGACAGAATGGAAGGCTGAAACTCGATTTTGTGAACACATTCCAAATAAGTTAGGCTTAAAGGAGCTAAATTATCTTAAACGTTCCACCACTCAACATCTGGTGGATTCCGGACACGATATCCAGATCTCGAGTGCATAATAATAAATAACGAACGAACGAACAAAACAATGCTAATTTACCAAGATATCCAGAACCAGTTGCTGTCAGGAGAGTTAAACCGAATTTTTCTCATTCAAAGCAAGGCACTTGTTGGCTTCCAAATTCCATGGTCATCATAGAGATTTGTTTTGTTATTCAGCATTAAACCTTCTTACACATTTATATATTTTTATCCTCTTTTACAGTTGGTTTCACAATCATTTCCCATTTTCGGCTTATTCTCTTTTCCTATATCCCCTCATTTTTACTGTCTGATCGAGACCGCATTGATCTTAGCCTTTTTACTTGATGTACTGATATGAGCTGTGGCAACTCGGACCGTTACGCAGTAATGTCTGGTCCTATGTTGATTTGGATGGATGGATCTTAACCTATCCAATCGTTTTAACTTTTTATTTGCACTATTAACTTATCACATATTCTTATGTAGTCCTTTCCATTCCATTTTTTGACGAGTCCTGTGTACTAAAATAACAATCTTAATATATAAACATATAACTTTTATTCCAATAATAAATTATTTTATTCGCTTGACAAATTTGAACAATATAAGAACAAAGGTATCTGCAGAATAAAATGAGCTCTTTTTATTCCACAGCATTTCATCAGTCGCAAACAGCCTACAATTGAAATGGAATATTAGTAGTAGTAATATTGATGTAACATACATTAAATATGTAGGAATAAATGGAGTTTCGAAATATATGATTAACAATAAGGTAGTGAGTGAGTCGAGGAAACACAGGATTAATAATCATAAACCTTAGTCGAAGTCAATGGCAATTTATACACATCTGATGAGATATAAAATTCTGCAGCTATGACAAGAGGGGAGGGACAACAAACAAACAAAGGTGTAAAAGAAGGGATTGCTAAAAAGCTAGTAGGTCACGTATTTACATGAAAAAACTGGAAGAACGTTAAGTTAAGTGATTAATAGTCAGTAAGTAATTAATGAAGAGATGTATGCATACATGTCCAAAAAATTATAAACAGTTACCCGGGGTAAACAGAGGTTAACTACAGTCTCTTTCTGAGTACATAGGTCAAGTTGAAAATGTTTGATAACAAGATCTTCTACAAACCGTTACAAACATAGCTTTTTTTGTTTGAAGGAATGAGAAACATCTCTTTGGTGTTCTGTTTCCATCAGGTGTCTGGCGCTTGCACTGGTAAAAACCTTGCTACTTTTCAGGCACAGATTTCTTAAAATGTGCTCATAAAATCGAGTAGATGCCCTTCTTTTGGTTGTTCCAATGTACCTGCTTCCATAAACAGTTGAATCGACACACGCAGCTGGAAGTGACATGAGCTGGATATTTGTCTACTTTCGATTGTGTTATTGAGCATACTGTACTGTTAACTGAGATCGGTCTGGCAGTAGGGAAGCTCATTCTCAGTGTAGCTTCTATTCCTCTGTCTGTTCTTTCAGATATAGGCTGTTTGTAGCTGATGAAAAGTCTTGAAATAAAATGAGCTCATTTTATTCTGCAAATGTCTTTGTCCCTCCATTTTTCAAATAAATTATTTCATCTCGACTTCCTTAACCTGTATTACTTCTTCCATAATCTTTTATTAATAGACTATCATTCACTTGATAATTAGAGTATATATATTGCCTTGCTTGGCATATATCTAATGATTTTACTGCATATATGCAGTTGAAAATAAGGCGATGAAATACAATGATTTGATCGTATTCAGCGAGATTTGTAGTTCTTGCTTTGCTGACATTTTTGTAGGGAACCATTTGGATGACATACATTTTTCTGTTATCATTTGGGAACAGCTTTCCTCGATTATTCGTATATCCATTTGGATCGTATTTGGTGTAGCAGTCTGAAATATGATAGGAAACCAATTATCGTTGAATAACCAGCACTTCGAACTGGACAACATGAAAGTGGTTTCTCTCCAGTAGACAATTGGTTTATCTAATCCAGACCTAAAGGAAGTCGGTCGCGACCCGAACAGCTCATTCTTAGCACTGGGTTGTGTAGGTGCGAATCTCTTACAGGACATTAGTTCCTTCGAGTTTGTAGTTGCACCTTGCTGATAATTCCCAATAAGTATGAGACGTAGACTTAGGGCTTCTTTCTGATCACCCTCAACCTCTAGAACACACTGAATAACCGTCTCGTCTTAGTCTAGGACTAAACAGTGTGCGCTAACAGTGAGTATGTATTGAGTATAATTTACGCTCTCATGCTTGCCTAACATCATATTTTATTCGGTTTACAAAAGTTATCCAGTTGTTATTTCTTTTCATACTGTCATAAGTATAGTCATCACATAGATTAAATTGAATAATATGAATTATTATAAATTAGATCCCCAGGCCCTTGAGTGGAACCCAAAGAGGAAACGACGAGTTGGGCGTCCGAGGGTGTGACATGAAGGAGATCTACAACCGTTTCTTCTTCTGCTGCTTATAATAATGATACTATTACATATGCTATTACTTGTAAAAATACTAGTAATTATAATAATAACAATAATAATTCTGCTACTGTCACCATCACTCCTATTACTACTACTACTGCTAGTAATGCCCTGTTATGCCTACTACTAATACTACTATGCTACAACTACTACCACTAGTACTATCACGAGTACCTCTACTACTACTACTACTTTTAATACTAATAATACTACTACTGCTACTACTGCAACTTGCCCTAGTAACACTACTAATACTAATCATATTACTCTTACTGCTACTATTTCTAATACCAATATACTACTGCTGCTGATACTACTGCTACTACTACTACTTCTACTACTATTGCTACTGATACTGATACTACTACCAACAGTACTCCTGCTAATAGATCCACCACTGCTATTTCTGATATAATACTGCTACCACTCATTATACTAGTAAATTTACTACTACCAATAAGAATACTATTACTACTGCTACTACTGATACTACATCGTGTCCTACTACTATTAATAATAACAATAATAATAACACTAGTGCTACTTATTTTACTGCTACTACTAGTACTGCCGCTACTACTACCTTTACTACTGCTAGTATTACTATTACTATAGCAATAATATTAATGACATTAATAATACTACTACTACTGCAAATAATACTACAAACACTGCTACAGTTAGAACTACTGCTAATAGTACTACAAATAATTTCACTACCACTACTGCTACTACCAACCTCACCTGATTAACTAGTTCACTAGTTACTAGCCGGTCCTAAGCCCCGGTAAACAGGGAAGGTTGGGCATAGGGCTAGCAACCCTACCCCGTAAAACAAATCTAACCGCTAAAGAAACTTCAAAGCACAAACAAAATATAAAAAATGAAAACAAATTTATTCCCCGCTGGAATCGGAGAGGCGAAATGATGCCAGTTGGTGAAAGCCTTCGGGAAGCCAATTGGCCGATGTGTCTTCTCTCGATGAAAGCGAAAGTAAACGTGGGGACATGGAATGTCCGCACGAGGTTTGAACCCAGTAAGGCAGCCCAGATTGCAAGGGAGATGAGAAGGTATAACATCGAAGTGCTTGGGATTTGCGAAAGCAGGTGGAATGGGAGTGGACTCTGCAAACTGTCAACTACAGAATCAATAATCTACTCCGACATCGT